CTTAAATAGATGATTTGGTTTTTAATTTAATTGATTTACTCAAACTCTTTTTGTCATGTTTTGAAACGAATTTGAGGGTTTTTTCAAACAAAAAATACAACATCACTGTTTATTTGGTTTTAATTTGATTTGTTTTTAATTATATATATAATATTAATTGTTATAAAAACATACTTTGTAGAAAATTAAATATTGTTGTTTATAATATACTTGACTTTAATTCACATATAAACTGTTTTTCAAAAGTCGGTACCACAGTATTTTTAAAACTTCCTAAAGTCCCGTTTTTTATTTTTTATTTTTTCTAAAAAACATAAAAACAAAAAATCGAAAGTACAGACTTAATTTTGAAAAAATACCAATCCCGTTCAATTATTTTTGTACAATATCGGGAATTTATCCGAATATTAGCCAGCCTTTTCCAAAAAAATTCGATCCTGTTATTTGATTTGACCACAACTCGATACTTCGCAACACAAACTCAACGTTGTTGGTCAAATCATACAACGATAAACACGTTAATGAATTGGGATGTCGTTGTTTGTGTCAATTTGTAACTAAATATCAGTTTCGTTGGTTTTCCATTTCAATTAAAAACAAACATGTGGTTTTGTTCTTTAAACAAAAGAAAATGAAATAACGAGTTTTAAAGAAAATAAATAAGAGCGAACAATTAATAATTTTGGGTTTTGATATTTCAGTCATTGTTGTGACAACACCATCAGTATATCGATATTACGCGATACTTTAGCGTTTGTTACTAATATTATTTATTATTATAAATGAAAACTCGACTTTGAAAATTTTTGGCATTAAATTTATCAGCTTTTTATAATAAAATGCACTTTTGGGATCATTCACGTGTATTTCAAAAACAAAAATCCCGTTATTTCAAATTTTATATGGAATTTTATAATGCTTATAAATTCTTCAAGTAAAAAATATTTTTTGAAGACTGTTTTTCTCTTTTTTACTTGGAAAAAAAATAAGCGAATTTATTACAAAAAACTATTCCCAAAAATAATAAACAAAATAAATGCAAAAAATCGGGACACCTCAGTACAGACTTTTGAAAACAAGTTTACTTGATATATAATTTATTATTAGTCTTAAATTGAATTGTATGCCAGACAAATTCTTAATAAAACAATAACACTTAAAATACAGCACTTATTTTTGTTTTGGCCTGTTTTTACAAAGATATTAATTCATTTTTGATTTTTATTCAATTTTGGCTTGTGTACTGTTTATGCACATACATTTAACTTTAAAACACATACACTTATTTAATAAACTCAAAATTTCCCGATTTTTAGACCACTTGATTTTTGAATAATGTTATTTTAAGTGTCAATAAAAATCATATTTTTGTTTACAATAGTTATAATTTCAAGTTTGAAATGAATAAAATTATACTATCAACAACACATTTCAAGTGTTCTATTTCAATTTTAAACAAAAACAAGTAAAACATTTCGGGAAAAATTCAATATATTAATTTGTTGTATTGGTTTTTAACCGTGCTTATGATTTTTCGTTTTGTACTTAAATTTCAATTGTTTTTGTATGTTTTTAAAAAAAATAAAAATACAAAACCAAGGAATTTTATAATAATTAAAATTTACATTTAGTTATTATAATGTGCTTTTTGATTATTTTTTAGTTTGTTTGTAACTCATTTTGTGTAAAACAAAGTTCGAATGTTTTTTGTGATTTCTATGATAATTTTAATTAATAAACACGTCTAATATGTAAAAATAATTGTTAACAATTCTGTTTTTATTTTTTATAAAAGATATATTTTTTTGTTTTGGCATTATAAACTTTTTTATCATTTAAAAAATAAATATTTCGAAAAAATAAAATATAAAATCAATAATATAAATTTAACTGTGATTTATAACAAAATAATAAAGTAATTTTGGGACAAAAGTAAAATAATAAGACGTAATTTTTTATTGTTAAAAACGCCGTACTGTAAATTAACAATATCTAATTGTATTTTATGTTGATTTATAACAAAATTTAACTTTTTGTTTTTGTTGTCTTTCAAAATTTTTTACCTTTTGCAAAAAAAAATAAAAACAAAATAAAAATAAAAATATTGTACATTTATTTGAAATGACTTTATATTAGAATAAATTGTAACGCAAACAATAATTTAATTTTTGATAAATTTTAAAGTAAAAATATCACAAATTAAATATTGTATGAATTACAAAAAAAATAATAGAGTCAAAACGACACAAGTGTTGAATGAATTATAATAAACGTTCTTATTTTATAATTTAGCAGTTGTAAAATATATAATTTAACTTTATTTTAAATAACTAATCAGTCAAAGGCTTAATTATAAGTCAATAATTGTTTTTTGGTAATTAATTACTCACTTAAAACTACACATCAAATAAAATTATTAATATTTAATATGATTAGTTGTATTTTTATTGATATTCTGTTTTCAAAAAAATAATTATAAATTTACCAAAATTACACATTACTTGGATTTAAAATATCATGTAAATCTTTCAAAGCAAGACAATGGCAGAAGAACAAGATCATCAAATTGTAATAAATGAAACCAATGGAACTCCAAATAATGCAAATCAAAAACACGAAGATGTGGAAAAACAAAACTGGCCAAAAAGCTTGAAAACAATGGATGTTCAAATTTTAAAGCGATAGTATGTTGCCCGGCTTTGGCAATATACATTTGGTTTGGGAGTTGTAACATGTTTGTATGTGTCAGTCTTTTGATTTCTTTGTTGACTTGTAATATCGGGGGAAAATTCATTTATTTATATTAAAAATGATTAGAAGGAGTAACCTCAAATGAAGACCAGTAAATAACTCAATATGCTATTTAAATTTATAAAATAGTATTTTAATGGATATAAAACAACAAAATTAAAAACCCTTTTGATTATAAAATCACCAATTTTCCTTTTCAAAAAGAAGTCCGTCTTTGTTTAAGTCGTCACTAAATTTCGTGAAGACTTCATTTGCGTCTTTCAAGATGTCAAAATAAAGTTCTTTGTTTCTTTGTTCCGCAAGAGCAACTGCAAGTTTAATGATTGCGCCGATAGATCTTCCGCTGCCATTAAACGTACCTAACTTTTTGACATCAAAATTCTTTTCGACGTATTCCTCTGCACCATTTCTTCCTCTTTCAATCCCTTCTATAACTTCTCTTTCAAACAAATTAACAAGAGAATTCCTCCAAATCTCTTCCTTTGACTCTTCTTTTAATTTCTCAAAGTGAACAGCCAAAGTTACTCTACTCAATGCAGCTGGATCAAGTGCAAGAGGTCTGTTACTCGTTACAAAAAGTGCCCCGTCAAAGTTTTCAAGTAGTCTCAGAAGCACAGAAGTCATCGAGTTCATCACAAATTGGCCAGACGTCCTCTTCTCAATGAGTGCATCACCCTCGTCCAACAGAACAAGTGCTCCCCATCGAGATGTCAAGAACAAAATGTCGCCAAGTCGTTCTTCCAACTCACTGATGGTTGTTCCCAACTCTCCAAATGAGACTTGGTACATCGGACGACCAAACAAAATGCTTAGCGCCTCAACACTTAACGTCTTTCCAGTTCCTGGTGGCCCATACAACAAGAAGAGTGTGCCATTTCCTCGTGTTTTCAGTATTTGGGCGGACTTGTATTTGCTCTCAGTTTTGAGCATTTTCTGAACATTTAAAGCAAGTGCGTCACTTTCATTAATACGTCCATCTGTCTGTATCATCTTTCTCCCTTTGACGGAGGACGCCACAGTTGCAACCAATAACTCTTTGACAGTAGAAGGAAGTACAAGTTGATTCCACTCGACACTTCTGATCTCAATGGCATTCAAAAGAGGGACCAGAACATGTCCCAGCATTTCTGAGTGATGGAATAAGCAGAGACTGTTGGCCACACGAGTTTATGGAGATGTTCTGGCAGCGTTTCAAACACTTCAATTCCCTTTGTCTTATACCGCTCTATCCTTTCACTCTCACTGCATGTCGGTGGAAACGTCTTGCGGACCTTTTTATACTCTGAGAATGCATTAACTATTGCTTCACTCGCCTCGTTGACCCCTTTAACAACACTTTTGTTCAATGATACAGTCAGTTCCATGTCGACCACCAATGAACCATCTTTTGAAGTCGCAGAGTCAGTTTGTGTGTGTGAATTTCCAATTCTGCTTTGATGTGGGAAGAACGAGAACTCACTGTAGTGCATGTAAACGGGAGTGCTCTTGAATTTTGAAATCATTTCATAGTACTTTTCATACACTTTTGCTTCGTATTTCTTGATTGGGTGGTAGTCAAAGTCTTTCAGTGCACGTTTTCCAATCCACTCGCCAATAGATACATTAAAACTTACAGAGAGATACTCATCAAGACCTCGTACCATTGTTTTAAGGCGCATCGAGAAGTAATACTTCCTTCCCAACATCATCGACCGGTGGACATCATAATGACTGTCTTCGATTAAAAAGACGACTGGAAGGTTCCCTATTTCAGTGATCTTGTCGTTCATCACAAAGTCACCTGGTTTGTATACTTCTTGGAGTTTCATATACTCTACCTCACCAGACGCCTTCTTACACTCACTTCTCGCGTCTGTTATTAATTGATCAAATTCATCTTCTATTGTTTTAAGAACCTCTTCAATGCCAGGAACTTTCACATCCTTGTGCTCGTCAATTGCTATTGTGTATCCAATTGTACTCACTTTCTCCACAAAAGACGTCATGAACAGTCGTTTGGCTTCATCACAATTCTGTGCATTTGTTTTAACAATTTTGTTGTAACTCTGCACTTCTTCTTTTATCTGCCGAAGGCGGTTGTAATTCCCAAACAAGTTACCTATCGACACTTCAACATCAGTACGCCCAAGTTCACAGAAATACCTAACGACTGCAAGAACGGGTACTATAACTGTTGTGTCGTCTTTGGAATCCCCTTTAATGCGCTCGAAAACGACACTCTCCGTTTTGCCAGTTATTGGATTGATTCGTTTTGAGCACACTGCCTTCTCTTGTTCTTTTTGTTCACTTTGAATATCCTTTTGAGTACTTTTGACAACACTTTTCTTTGGAACATTTGAAATCTTTTCTTGCATTGGAGTATTGAAAGGTCTTGCACCTTTTTACTCTCTCAAATAGGCGGGGTGGAGCAAATACCCTGCAATCAGTTCTCTTGTCTCCACGACATTCAATCCTCCCGTATTGAATTTTTCAATAGTATTAGCATTTCCCTCGTCACTCCAGTCAGACGCCGTGTAAACCACTTCATTGTACTTAGCAGAAGAAACAATTGTCTTAATGTTTGTTAAGTTAAATAGTGTGTTTGTCATAGTTTCTGGTGTTGTAGTCATCATCACCATCACTTTTGAGTGACTTGAGAAATTAGTATCTTGTTGGTCATCCATCTTGATGTCTTCTTCATAATTCTCACTTGCACCTCTCTTCTTTTTGAAATACTTTTGCTTCTTCCAATTTTCAGTTAAAAAGGCGGTGAATGGCGTAAATGGAGCAGGTTTGCCAATAAACTTCTTTGCCATTTCAACAATCAAATGTCCCTCTTGGTCGTCGTCCAAAGGCTCCAGGTATATCTCCACCATCACTATCGTGTTTGTTGGCCTCATGATGTCACCACTCTTCTTAACCCATACATTATTGATCGTCTCTTCAGAGAACACATTCCCAACACTCTGGTGGGTCACTTTTGCGTGTAATGACTCGCTGAGAGTCGCATTAAGTGTGCCACACGATTGGAATGGATTCAGGACAACCGACTTGATCCCATTTTGTAAATAAGTCGAGAAGATGTCTGTTACTATGGAAGTCTCCTCACCACTCAGCTGTGACGTCCAACTGTCTAAATCAACAAATGCTTCTGTCATGTGTAACACCCGTGGCTTTGCACAGTCGTCATCCGTCATATCTAAACTTCTCTTATGTGAAAATGCAAAAATTGGAATTCCAGTTTTTGGTGACTCCACGTCAGTCAGTTTCTCAGTTGCAATTTTGAGAGCTGCTTGGATTTGTTTCTCTTCGTCGCCATTTCTGATAATTGTATCACACGTGTATAACATAGTTCCACTTTGGGTTTGTGGTTCAAGACTTGCGCCAAATGATTTCTGTTGTAATGAAGTTTTCATTGTGTTGAATTGATATTGCAGATTTCGTTTTAATACTCGAAAATACTTCAACAACTATTAATTTATTTGTTTTTCAGTTATTATAAAAAGTAACTTGGTTGAATACTTCAATGAAAGGCGTTTTAAAAATGGAAAATAAATTAAGTTTATATTCAAAAAGATTAATACTTGGTATACCATATCATATTCATTGAACTTGTTGATAAAAATTTAAAGGAACAAAACATAAATAATTTAAAAATATCAAACACTTCTTTAAGTAAATATATTAATATTCAATAGTTACTATTAAAATAAAACCATTTTTAGAAAACCAGTATATTTCGTTTATTTGTAATACTTCAAATTTTTTGTTCGTTTTGAAAAGATAAAAATTATTCTATCAATTATCTACAATTTTTAATTAATAAAAAATTAGTTTAATACCATTCAGACAAATACTTCAATAACTAAAGTTTTGAAAAAAAAAACGCGACAATTATCAATTTAATTATAATCAGTTTCTAACGTTATCTGGTATATTTTGTATATACCAGATAACATAATATATATCACAAGAAATGGCATGTTTTAAAAATCTGTATTAAAAAAATCATTTAGAGTTTGTTGTAAAACGTTGTCCCAGTCGCCAACGTTGTCCTTTTTATCAAATTTTACACAAATAATTGTTTAAAACCCCGGGAATTAGGTAAAAATTGAAAAAATTGGGAAAAATTTAGGAAAAAAACTGAAACGACGATTTTTTTATATTTCGAACATGATCCCGATATTTTCCAATTTTTATTGACCAAAAATACCAGGACAACGTTTTCCGACTAACTCTACATTGTTTTGGGGGTTTTCCACTTTTATTTAATGCCCATTTTCACAAAATTAAAGCTATTTTTGTGCACTAAATATCGTTGAAAGATTTACTTTTTTGTTGAATTATTAACTAAAAATTTAAAATTATAATTTTTGAGATGGTTGTAATATTTTGAACGAGTAAAGTTTAAAGTATTCTATTTATATTATTTTATTATTAGTATTATAGTATTAAAATTTATTATTCATTTAATAACATATCAACATAATTGTATTATCAATTAAGTTTTCGAATGACATAAGAATTTCCGCACCACATATTTCCTCTGGCAGTAACACTTTTTGGTAACACAATTGTTACCAACTTGTCACAATTTTTGAAACACATTTCACCAATAGACAACAATCCTTCATGCAAAGTAACACTTAAAAGATTATTACAATTATAAAAGCAATAGTTACCAAGTGAAGTGACGCCTTTTGGAATTTCAATTTCTGTGATATTTTCACACCCACAAAACACATTTGTTCCAACACTTTTGACACCTTCAGGTATATCAAATTTTGAGAGTAACTTGCAATTAAAAAAACAGGCGTTTTCGATGATTTGAACACTTTGAGGAAATGTAATTTCAACGAGTTTAAAACAGTTTGCAAAGCATTGTTCTCCTATTTTTGTCACACTTTGTGGGATATCTATCTCTTCCAAAAAACTGCAACCTTGAAAACAGTTGCATCCAATCTCTTTCAAGCCTTCGGGTAACTTCACTGAAGTTAACGACAAACACCCACCAAAGCAATTTTTACTCAAAGTCTCGACACCACTTTCTATTTGTAACAAATCAAGCTTTTTACAAAAGTTGAAAGCGGATTCTCCGATTGATTTTACAGACTTTGGGATAACCAGTTTTTGAATAGCGAAACAGTGGAAGAAGCAATATTTACCAATCGAAATTAAATTAGTAGGAATACTCGCATTTGTGAGCAAAGTGCACCCAGAAAAACACGAATCGCCAAGATGTATGAGTGAATCAGGAAAATTGAAGTCAACAAGATTTTCACAATTTTCAAAACAACAATTTCCAAACAATTTTATTGTATTTCCTTTAAATGTAACATTTATTAACTTGCAACAATTAGAAAATGTTGAATCATACAATTTGGTGATTTTCGAAGGAATTGTTATTTCAACGAGTGATGCACATTTCATAAAACAATTCATTTTAATCAACAACAAATTGTCATGTAAAGAAATTGAAGACAGATTTACACAGGAATCAAAACAACACTCTCCCAATGAAGTCACCCGTTTTGGTATTTTTATTATAGAGAGTGATTGACACGTTGAGAAGCAACGATTTGGAAGATAATTGATATTCTCAGACAAATATATTTCTTTCAAATTAACACATTTACTAAAACACGACACTCCAATACTCGTAACGTTATTTGGAATTTCAAATCGACTCATCTGTGAATTCGTAAAACAGCCGTCCTCAAATGAAGTTATTTTTGGATTTAAAATATTAATGTTTTTGTAACCACAGAGTAGTGAATCTGTGCTTGTGTAGACGACATTTTTAAATTCAAAATTTGTGTAAGTCTTGTTGTGTTTATTAGCGAGTCTAAAATTTACGGGGTACCACACTACTATCTTGAAAAAATCGATTTTTTGTTGATTGTTTGAAGTTAATGAGTTTTGTTTATTTTCTTTTTGTCGAGCAAGAGTACTGATATCATAAAAAACTGGAATAACATTACCAAATGTTTCTTCGTAGTCGTTCCATACATTAAGAGTTTCGATATTTGGAAAGTATTTTATTGTTGCTAAATTGAGGGGAAATGGGTTAAAGTGGAACATAGAAAGATTGTTGTTAAACTTCTCTGAAACTTGTTGAAAAGCAACAAAATCGGTTATCGAAGTAAAATATTTCGAGACTACCATCCCATGATATCGGTCAAGTCGCTTCATTTGAGTTTTTAAGTTTTTGTATCCAAATTAAAATTAAAAAACGTTGATAATGAACCATTATTATTATTTAATAATAATTTCAATAATTTTAATTTTAAATGATGAAATAATACACAATGATGTTTATCTTATTTTGAATGAAATATTTTTATTTTGACAAATATTATTAAAATATGTTAAGATTCTGTATTAAACACATATTATCAAACACATTAAATAACATTAAACAAAATTTTATGTAGTCGGAAATTGGAAAAATTTCGAGTTTATTATATCTTTTATATTTTATTAAAAAGTTTATTACGTGTATTACATTACACAAACCAAAAAGTAAATTTCAAAATGGCTATATATCACAGTAAAATAGCTTCAATAAAAAACAAGGCGTATTTTATATATGATAATGTTTTATGTTATTAAATATAACGAAACAGGACGAGATTTATATCATGATATTACAGCCAATTTAAAAATAAAATAAGCATAAAATATGGTATTATTTCATATATATTTAAAAGCCAATTAATAAAATTATATCAATTTTAGATATTAAAACTGTCTTAAATTCATATGTGGATTATATAAGAATTAAAATTAAGAATATAAAACGTTTAGAATAAAATGAATTTTCTATTTTTATTGTAATAATATTCGTTTTTAATTAATGATATTATTTTACACATTTAAAAGTTGTTATGTTACGTTTGATTATGTTTTTTATTGTTAAAATCAGAACATATTTAAAAAAAGATGTTTGTTTACTTAATTTCCGCAATTATGGAATGTGTATTTTCGATTTTATCAAGAATTTGCATTGAGTTTTATAATTTAATTACTATATTTGCCAAGTTTAAACTTAAAAGTTGAAACCTTTAATTGGATTACATATTTATTGTTTATAACTTGTACCACAAGTCACATTTTAATGTATTTATAAAACTTATAAAACTTATATAACAATCATTCATATATTCAAATTAAATTGATCTTGGAGTTTTTTTTTGAAATTTAAACATTTCAAGACAATTTTGAAGATAATCACGTAGATTTATTTATAATTAACTTTGAATTTTACTTTTATCTTATTTGTAAAAACTTGAGTTTTTGTTGATAACACATAAATTATTAAAAAGTGTAACATTTGTATTACAATGTTGCAATTGTTATTTATATATATAAATATATATAATATATATTGTTATTTATATATATATATATAAATAAATATATATTTATATATATAAATATAAATAAATATTATTTATATATACAGTAAATAATCAATTATTAAAATTAAACAATGTTTTAGTGTTCAATCTTCAATAATTAACATTATAATTAAAAATTGAACAATTTTATTGTCAACAAAAAAATGCAAATGTGAATTGATTTAAAAGCTATTTTGATTGGTTGCATGTCACCAAAAACAACATGAATTATCAATTAAATAACGTTTTTATAAACAAAAAACATCAATAACAATTTTAGTTTATATTATTTTTGATTTTAAAACACTTAAATTATGTTTGATTCAAGCGTCTAAATAGAATTAAATGTTTAAAATCCAAATTTCAAACAACTATAAGTGTTAAAAAGTTAAAATATGAAAACAGTTGTAATTTAATTTAGTTCAATCAAATTACAATGAACAATATTTATTTTGTTCATTTACACACATCTAAAATAAACATTTTTTATTTTCATAATTAACAAAATTGTACAAAATTGTATAAAATACTTCGTTTTGTCACATTGATGTTATTTAAATTTATAATCAAAATAACAGACAACAAAATATGTTTTAACAAATAAATTAATTTATTAAATATTTTTGTATTTTTTGAAGTTTTACATTGTTTTGAAAAATTGTTTTTGAGTTACATTATATAAATATACTTTTTAAATAATAATAAATTTTATTAATATTTATAAAATAAAAAAATGTTATTTAACAACAAAATTCATCAAACGATTATTTATTGTTTAAAGAGCAAGCACCAAAGCGAAAATAGCCACGACAATAGCAAAAGAAACAGCAGTACTTTCTTCAGTTGGTTCGACATAATCTTTACAGTGTCCTTTTCCATCAGCCAAATAATAATTGTTTGTAAACAAATCTTCACAGACAATGCATTTCGCGGCATCGTTTCTAGTTTGGCAACTATCAACATTCGTGCAATTGTCTCCGTCCTTTTTATATCCATAATTACACGTCTTGCAAGTGTGGTCTTTGTTATAGATTAAGCAGTATGCAATAGGTTCATAGGTAATGCATTCAGTCGCACTCTTCACACATCCACCTTCACATTTAGCATCACATTTTTGGCATGTGTATTGACCATCTACATAATAACCGCTCTCACAATCAATGCATTTGCCTGGTCTTACATTGTCATAATTTGTACAATGATCAATTGTGTAGCACTTCGTATCATCACCACCTTTGTTTGTATATTTGCATACAGAACTGCATTGATTGCAGTAATTTCGTGTGTTATCAGTATCGTTATTAAATGAATCACACTCACCATCGCAAGCCAAGCATTTACCCTCAACAGTAATGTAATTTCCATATAAACATTTTGTACATTTAGTATCAGAATTGCCTTCGGAACATTTATCACATGATGGATGACATTTGACACAATTATTATCAGAAGTTACAGAACCATAATCAAAATCACATCGTGTGCATTTTTTGTAATCATTCGGATCACACAAGGAGCAACCGGTGTCACACTTTTTGCAAACTTTACCATCCAAAGCAAATGAAGGATAACAATTAGTACATGTTTCTGTATCTAAATAATTACATGATTCACAGTTCTCTCCACATTTGAAGCACTTTTTAACCGTGGAATTAAATTTGTGTTTTAAAATGCATGTTTTACATTCTTCCAAGTTGTTTTCATTACATGAAGCACATCCAGTCCCGCATTTCTCACACTTGTTGTTGTTGAGTCCATACCCATAATCACAATCAGTGCACTTGCTCGCAGAATCGGCCTCATCACATTGAGTGCAATGATCAAGGCATTTATAACATTTCTGTGTTGAAGCTGACAGTTTATAACCATTTGTATTGTTGCAAGCATCACATTTAGAAACTTCATTTTCAACACATTGGGTGCATCCTTCAACTTCACACTTCTTACATTCGCCATCGACTTTATAATATTTATATTCGCATGTTGCACAGCTGGTGGCATCTGCTTCACAACTAACACAATTGGTCTTTTCACATTTAGTGCAATTTCCATTATTGAGGCCATACCCTTCTTCACAATGTGTGCACTGAGTTTGGTTAAAAGAAGTACAAAATGGCCGATACCCACAATCACCACCAACAAAAGTATATGGGTTTCACACGTCTTGCAGCTGTTCTTGTCTATGTAAGTAATGCAATGCGGAAGAGTCCCAAGTACACAATTTTTATTGTCGTCAACATAATACCCATTATTGCATGTCCCACACTTCTTGTTGTCGGTTGTATCTCTCTTAAGACAATTTGGAATTCTGACACATTTGTTTGATTCCAAATAATAACCATCTGCACATCCGGTGCAGGTACCACAATCGGGATTGGCGTCTAAACAACCCTTGTTTTGTTCGGCGCAGTTCTTGCATGACTTGTCGTTGATGTTTGTGATAATTTTGCAAGAATCACAAGTCATTTCAGTATCATTAACATTGACCATACAATACTCGTCTCCTTCAACACATCTGTTGTTGGCAACATCTTTCATGTACCCATCAGCACACACAGTGCATTTTTCCTCATTGAAACTTTCACAGCCCAAGTCTCTCTTATAAGTGCAAGTTGTCTTGTCGGTGTTCAGAACATAATTGTTCAAGCAAGAGTCGCATTTGTTTTTATCAACAGTCAATGACAAGCAATACGATCCAGTAAATTCAGAATACACAACGCAGATCAATGTTAAACAAAAAAACAGAAAGCATTTGATGATATTTAAGTTCAAAAGAGTTTTTTATAATAAAAAACACGACAATAAACAATATGGGGTTGCAAAAAACAAATCGTAGTTTTTTAATTCACAAAAATATTTACATTCTTTAACTGTGTTGAGTTAGTGGTAAATTTAAATTGTTTATAAACATTACAAAAGTATAAAATGTATAGCACTTTGATAAACTTCACATCACAAATCATTTAATATTTAATTTTTTATTGGTGTGTTAACCAACTTTTATACTATCTTTACATATTTGTGTTTATATCATATAGTTATATTATTTTTTTGGTATCTTAAATGTTCCAAATGAAATATCTCTTTTTCATTTTAATAAAATATTGTCAATACAATAAATATTTATAATCGAAGTTCTATTAATGATAAAAATGACAAACTATACTGTTTACTTTTTAAAAAAAATTGGTGTAAAAAAACAAACAACTCATTATTCCAACAACAAAAAAATCATAAACAAAAAATGACGAATTGTATGACAATATATACAAATGGGCAACGAATTTGTTTTATAAATATATTAGCACCCAAATTTCACATTTTCAAATCACACTTTCCCCAACATTTTATTAAGTTTCATTTCATATTCGTAATTTGTTAACTTTCTTATTATAAAGTAAACAAATCAAACAAATAATAAATCATTTAAAACTTAAAAATTCATTAAAAATGAAAGTTTTACCAAAATGATTTTAATTGAAAATATAATTTGCGTCATCCGTATTTTATAATACAATGCGCTATAATGTTTTAAACTGTACAAACAAGATGTATTTTTATTCCATCACCACCTTTAAAACTTGATTATATTTTTAAAAGAAAATAATATACAATTAAAAATTTAAAATTATATAATATTTGGTATAATTCCTTAATATAAATTATGACGAACAGTCACCCGAAACCAATGGAATGATAAAAAGCATTGAAAAAAGTTACGGCGGTCACACAAAAACAGTCTATTTGTGCACAACTTTTCCAACTTTTTATATTGCCTCTTGAATGTAATTCTTTAATTTCCCCACAAGCCAAGATTTACATCCACCCACTACAGACGATAAATGTGATATATAAAACACACAAACAGTTGCCTATAGCCGAACAATATTTAAAATATTGAAGCAAATACTTTATGCATTAAAAAACAACACTTTTGTATTTTAATCAAAAAGTTTTAAGTCTCGAAACAACATTGTCACAATAGTTCATAATCTATTATGACAAAAATTCTACAATAAATCAAACAAAAAGATTATCATGAAAAACTTATTGAGAAACATCTCGACATTATAAAAAAGTTAAATAATTCAATTTAATATTAATGTATTGGATAATAAAAGACAATATAAGAATTAAACTTCTTGTAAAAATGTATTAAAGTGTTTTAATCAATATATTTAGTGCCATCCAGTAGTTTTAATATAACGTCGATATCATATTTAAATTAAATTTTAACATTATACAACGTCTTAGATAATTTTATAATTAAGTTTTAAATAAAATTTTATTTGAAAAAACAAAAAAATAAAAAACAAAAATATATATTTTTTTTTATTATTTTTGGAATAAATATAACAAACTCTTTATAATTTTTCTAAAGTCGGTTTTTTAATTAAAGATGAAGAAAATTAACTATATAATTGGTTTTTTAATTATAATAAATAGTATTTTTTTCAAAATAATTCTTTTTTTTGTTTTATTTTTTAAATTTTTTACTTTTTAACCACATTATTCATTCAAAAAAAGGAAAGCAAGAAATGTGGAGTTTGTAATTCCCTTTCTGGCTAATTTCCGAGTAATATCAACACAACCGGCAGACCATTTAATATAGTTAATCACAGAAGTGTCATAGTTATAAGGCGATTAATAGGTCATACCAATTGATTTGAAAAGCAAAGAAGAAGATTGACAACTAGCATTTCTTTGAGAATGTCAAATGGTAAAAAAATAATAAGAAATTCATTATGTATTTATGGTTTTTAACTCGCCGATGGTCGATACTATATATTATAATATAAAAAACTGATATAGTAAATTTCCTTGTTGTATTTTTGGAATATCGTTAATTAGAAATCAGACTTTACATAATTATTTAATGGTCTGTTGATTTTAAAAAAGCCATGTAAACCAATGCAAGTATAGCTCCGTTATTTGTTTCAAATTAAAAAATAAAAATCAAATTAAAACACATTTATTTTCTTTACTATGACTTTGCTTTCCAAAATGTGGTGTGGCTGTGTTTTCAACTTCGTTGAGAATGCTTTGTTCATATCTTCGTTTTAGTAATGAACGTTTAGTCACATCATCAATAACGTAAAACACGCCATCACGCTTCAATGCACTCATCTCGTAAAATCGCGTTTGTGTGCATTTCATTTTCTTCACGATTTCTCTCTGACTCACCTGGATTTTGTCTTCTTCGTCTCGCTGATTGCCAACGACACACAAAATTGGTTGATAAAAAAGATCTGACATATCAATAACATCATTTGTTAATCTTTCATTTGTTTTTCGAACATTCTTTTCTATTGCTTTGATGTAATTGTCGACTTCATTTAATGTACCAACATCTCTTAAACTGTATATAATTAATATTGCTGATTTACCTCTTATAGTACTTTGGGAAATCATTCTGACTGGGTGATTGTTGTAATACGTTTCAGAGGCGTCTATGGGTAATATCATTTTTTAAATTGTCATTTATAACACAATTGTTATATTATATAAATATATATAAATATACACAATGTCAATGTATATAAAACCATAAAAGTATATCAACCATATAATTCAAAATGTAGATTTGTTATGTTTTTAATTGTAGATATTTGTTTAAAATTAACAAACATGTTTTCCATAATAAAGCTTTTATATTAACACCATCAATAATTTTATTGTACATTACAAAATCTTCTAAATATCGCCACTCATAATTGAATGGTATGTCTTCTTCACCTTTAAGTCTTTGTATTACTTTAGCACAAAACAAATTTCGTCCCGTGTTACATTCTCCGGTCACCAGATAACTAAATAATTCTATTTGTGGTTCGCAATCCATTTATTAAATTATAGTTAAAAAAGTTTTTTATCAAAAACAATTTTTTTATTTTATAATTTTTTAGTTATTTAAATAATAATATCATTATTAAAATATAAAATTGTTAGTTTTTTATCAATCCTTTAATAATTTATTTTAATAATTATAAAGATTATTATTAAAAAATAAATAAAAATAAACGTATTCGCACGCCTGTTTATAAGTTTTTATAATAAAAAAATATTGTTTAACACTAAGAGGCAACAGACGTTAAAACTAAAGATACTATTCGATTGTCTCGCCACAATTATTATTGTTTCCTTTTTTGATTACCTAAGTTAAATATGTAACAACATAAATTTCAACAAATACAAAAATTAAGATTAAAAAGATATTTATTAACCCCTCCAGATATATCAACAAGGGTAGAAACTATTCCCAGGTAAAAGTTCTTGTTCAACAATTCGCAGAAAATGCCAATCGTAAGTTTGTGCGTGTTAATATAGACCCCGAATTGCGTGAAGATATTGAACATCATATTTTATTGAATTAATTTTCTTATATTTTCTTATATTATATTTATTTATTATCATGATTATCTGATTCATAAAAACATGTCAAACTTAATTCATTAATTGATTTTATAATAATTATTCGTTGATAAGTTTGATACATACATTTTTTTTAATATTATTATGATATTATTTTTTCCCTTCAACAGCAAATATGTCTATTTTATTGTAATAATAATTGTCGAACTTGCTTAATTGTCGCACAACTTACCAATCATTTGGGCGTACATCAATTAGATATTTTGTTCTTGAATCTGTGACTTATGTTAAATTAAAAACTTAATTTTTAATAAAAAATAAATTTCAATTAAAAGGATTTATTTTTACACAATTCACTTATTCACGATAAATAGATACATCTTTCTGCTGGATTCACGATAAATGGTCATTTTTGTCGGTATAAACAGTGTGCTAGTTTGCTTTTAACAGATATAGTAAAACATCTCGAAAGCGGAAGGGTATAGTCATTATTGTTCTTTCAAGAGCGATCATTTATATAAATGCTTGCTGATCAAAACATAAAACTGCTTAATAAATAATTCTATTTTTTTGAATAATTCCAATTATTTTATTTTTCACTGAATTGCAAAAAGATGAAAAAATAATTATGAGATCATAGTGTTTTGTGAATAATGATGATTTTATAAAAAAATAATCCATATAAAACTGCTTAATTTTTAACAACATTTAGTCATTTTAATGGTTTATATTAATATAATTATTAATATAATTATTAATTATATAGGTGTAATTACATAATGCTATTTTAGACAATTTTATATGTATGTATTTTTTTGTTTCAACAAAATGTCACTCCAATTTCACAAAAACTATAATTGATATTCAAAAAAATACATTACTAAAACCGCTTTTATTCAATTTGAAATACAATTCAACAATCACATTTGTATTGACATTATTGTATATCTATTATTAATCAATTTAAACGTTTAATTGTGTTGATAATTTTGTTATGGAAATAAATCAAAACACTATCTGTTTAGTATTAACGTTTTATTGTTTTTAAACCTTCAACATTATATTTATTATTAAAAATGCTTTTTAAACCTTGAAACGTTAATTAAAATATATTTTACTGGCCATTTTCGTTATAATTGTTTTATAATTTATTCTTTTTTTAAATGAAAAAGTCGACAATGATTATTTTTAAACGAAAAAAGTGAGAATGCAATCAAGTATTTGTTTCAATACAACTTTATACAATTTTGTTGATGTTTTTGTTTTTTAATAAATTATTTCCAATTAAATTTTTTCTTTGTTTTTAAAATAGTGTTACATTTTATATTCAAAAACGAACAAAAAATACAATTTAATTGTAAATGCGAAGTAAAACATCTTCCTTGTATGTCTTATTTATATGTTATATACTATCAATGATCACTTCTGTTAGAGCTTCATGTCCTTCTAATTTGGTACAACAGTCTTTTATTCAATCCAAAAATTGCACTTTAAATGAAACATTGACAATAACAGGTTCTATACAAGCACCTACAATATACATGTTAAATAATGTTTCAACACTAAACATAACAGGAATGCTGTTTTGTCAAAATGCTTCAATTGTAAATGTCACACAAAGATCAACACTTTATACAACAAAGATTACTTTGAAAGATCAATCACATTTCAATTTATATGATAATTCGATTTTAGACACACAAATTATTAACCTATTTAATGAATCACAATTTACCATTTCAGACATATCTGTCATTAAATCAATTTATAGAATTAATTTATACAACAAATCAATATTCATTTTTAAAACTCTTGGATTTACAAAGGCTTATTTTACTATATCTATTGGTGACAACGCAATTTTTAAAATGGAACATGGTTTCAAAAAAAAGAGTTTAGGAAATGTAATATCGAGAGGAAACGGGATTGTTTTTCTTGACTCCATAATACGTGCCCTATTTTTTACTTTTTATGAAAATTCTACACTCCATTTAAACTCAAATGCTACAATTGAAAGTTTGGATCTTTTTGATTTTAAAGAAAACACGACTTTTGAAATGGACAATTATTCAAGTTTAAAACTTGCCAATTCTTTTCATTTCAATGGGAATTCAACTATGTTGTTACATGAGCATTCTTTTGTCAATTCAATTCAAGACATAAGTTTTGGTGGAAATAGCACTTTCATGATGTTTTCAAAATCGAGTATCAATTCAACATTGGATATCAATATTAATGGTAATTCAACTTTCACAATGAATTCTAGTGAAATCACTTCAGTAACAAACTGTTTTTATTTAAGTAACAATGCTACTTTTTTAATGTACAACGATGCTGTCATCAAAAACGTTACACAAATTGAAATCAACAATGGAAAGCACACATTTAAAATGAACAACAATTCTTTTGTGAATGCCTCTAATTTCAAAATCACAAATGGCACTTTTGTGTTAAATGGAAATGATGATAGAAATAGTGTTAACAGTACAAACTTATCTTGTATCAACAATGGCACGATAGTTGTGACAAATACTTCACATTTTAACATTTTGAATTCTACAATATTCAATTTTTGTAACATAAACGTAATTAAAAGGACAATCAGGGATTTGCCAATCTTTTTTATTTATCAAATAAATACAACCATTTTTACTTTTCAAAGTTCATATGAAGTGGATTTGGTTTATTCTATAATGCCAATTCGAACAACGCTTCCACGAGGAACTAAACTTCTTATAGATGGTCGCTTATTAAGACTGGGTTCTTCAAACAAGGTGTTTTGCCATTTGATGAATGAAAATGGGTTTTATAATGAGCCATACTGTCCTTGTAGTTCTGTCAATTGTTATATCACTCCACTCAAAAACATTGCTCTTTTCAATTTATATATTGATACACCACCAATAAACTCACATCAAAAAACCAATGAACTTGAGGAAGTACTTGACATTGAAAGTGTTTCAATCGAAAACAAAAAAGTTTCATTTTATAAAACAGACAACTTTGTTTTATGTGTAAATTCACAACCATTAAAAATAATTACAAATATTTCGTCTTTAACAAAAACTGTTCTTCTTGTTTCAACTCAATATTTTGTATTTAAAAAGGTAGTTTCACAGGCAATATACACAACAAACAATCATACCAAATATTTAATAAATCCAGAATGTGAGGATGGATTGCATTTTAACACTGTAACACAAGAATGTGAAGAATGTACAGATTTAAATTGTCTTGGTTGTTCTTACAACACAAATGAATGTTTAAGATGCCAACAACATTATGATATTGATATAAATGGAAGATGTGCAATAATACAAAATTGTTTGTTAAAACTATCAAATCGATGTTTGAAATGTTCTAAAGGGTATTCATTAGTTGCAGGTAGCTGTCAAAAGTCTACAAACTGTTTGATTCAAACTTTTGATGAAAAATGCCAAATTTGTGATTTAAACACTTTTAACATTAACAATACACAATGTTTTTATGCAGATAATAATACAAAATACACAAATCAAAATAATATAATAACTTGTGAAAGTGGTTATGTTACGAATTCCACAAATTGTCAAAAATGCTCAGAAATGTACAAATCAAGTCTTCTTTGTGAAAATGGTCATCCCACAAAATGTGAAATAACAACTGAAATGAATTCAAATAAAAGGTGTGAAAATAAAAATTGTTCAATACCAAACGATCAAAACGGAAGGTGTTCGTCCCCAATTGCCAATTGCATTTTTATTACAAATTCAAAATGTTTGGAATGTGATAATAATTTGATTTCAAACAAAATGGAATGTCACACAAACAACGATTTGTTATGCACAAACCAGAGTTCGGTTTCGTGTTTGAGATGTGAAGACTTTTATTTTTACAGTTCATCAACAAACAAATGTGAAAAATGTGATCTAAATTGTATGACTTGTGTCATTGATTCGACTCGTTGTATTACATGTCCATTGGGATATTATCTCTCAAATAACACATGCAATACAAATGCCAAATTGGTTGGAATTTGCACACAACTATTATCATCTGGTGGATGTGTTAAATGCATTGAAGGGTATTACAGAAATGGGTTGGATTGTAATAAATGTGATATTTCATGTGCATCATGTAACACAAATTTAAGGTGCTTGACTTGTAATATAACGAATTACAAAACATCGAGCGGAGATTGTAAATCACAAAGTAGTTTAATAGGATGCGATGTGAATGTTACACAATATGGATGCACGCGATGTAAAGATGGGTATTTCCAAGTCAACACAAATGAATGTGATAAATGTGACATGACGTGTTTAACGTGTTCTTCATATGGAATTTGTGAATCGTGCATATCATCGGAAGTTTTGCTTTCAAACGGAAAATGTGTTAATCTTTCTCAAATATTAGAATGCAATGAAATATCAAACTCAAAATGTATTAAATGTTCATTCTGGAATGCACCAAGTTTGGATGGGACTTATTGTGAAAAACATACTGTGTGGTGGGTCATACTTGTTATCGTTCTGTTTATTATTATTGTACTAACATTATTTATAATAATATTAGTTTTTACAGTAAAGCACATTTTGAAAAAAATTCACACAAAAGAGTTGGAAAAAACAACAACAATATTTAAAATGGAAAAATCAAATATTAATTTTGTACCACTTGCAAACCACATTTGTGTCTCCTCAAAAACACTCAATTTCAATTCAGAAATCGATGAGATCCCGGTTGAAAGTGAGACAAAGATGGTGTTTTGCGTTGGAAACGCATCCAGAAACGTCTTAAAAATCCAATTTACCATGACAACACAAATTGACAAATTTACAATAAGGGTATCACCAGAAGTCGTCATGTTAAAAAAGAAGTTTGCGTGCGAATTTTCAATATATTTGACACCAAAGTGCACATGCCAAATAAATAACAAAATTTGCATTGTCTCAAAAAATCTCAAAACTAACGTCGAAAATACGAATGAAATTCTAATGATTGGAGTAACAAGTCAATCAACTCGCATTGACTTCGACGAGTTGAACGAAGAATACAAATTGGGAGAAGGGTCTTTTGGTGTCGTTTACAAAGGAAAATACAGAGGAAACGATGTGGCTATAAAGAAGATGAAACAAAGTGGAGAAAACAACACTTTAAATAACGATAAAAATGATGAAGAATTTGAAAAGGAAGTTGCGATGTTAGACAAATTTAGGTGTGAGTATATAGTCCACTTTTATGGCGCAGTGTTAATACCAAGTAAAATGTGTTTGGTCACCGAATTTGCGCAACATGGGAGTTTGAGTGATGTTATGAAAAAGTTTAAAAAGTGTGATATACAACAAAAAATGAAAATTAAAATGATGATTGACATCACGTATGGGATATCATATTTACATACCAATGGAATTTTGCACAGAGACATCAAGCCTGAGAATGTCTTAGTATTTTCATTTGATCACAACAACAAAGTGAACGCCAAATTGACTGATTTTGGATCAAGTCGAAACATTAATATGTTAATGACCAATATGACATTCACAAAGGGTGTTGGGTCTCCAATATACATGGCACCTGAAATATTGAAAAGAGAAAAATACAAAAAGAGTGCTGATGTATTTTCATTAGCAATAACAATGTATGAATGTTTCACATGGACAAATGCATACCCCAAAGAACAATTCAAGTTTCCATGGACAATTGCAGAGTTTGTGATTAAGGGGTTGCGATTGCCAAAGCCAGATGAAATGAGTCAAAATGTATACAATATCATTGTCGGGTGTTGGGACAATGAACCAAAGAAGAGAAGTTTAACAGAAAATATTTTAGATGAACTTGAAACA